CCGCTGGAACCCGCGCTGGGGCCGTGGCTGCCCCTGCTTGGCACGGAGCCGAGCCGCTGGCCGGGCTCCAGGCCCTTTACTAAAGCCCCTCGTTAAAAAGCAAGCCGGTGTTTTAGCGTCCCGGAGCCCTGCAGGAGCCGCGGCGGCTGGCGCTGCTCCCGCCCTGCCGGGGACGCTGGCAGAGATGAAACCGGGGCCGCAAAGGGGGGTTCAGACTGCCCCAGCCCCTGCACGGGGGAGAGGAGGCGTGATTTAAAGTGGGTATACCGGAGCCACCAGCTGATCTGCCCCCAGCTAGCTGAGGTGGGAGAAAATCTCCTGGGGCTTGCAGGAGTGAGCAGCCGGCGGCGGCTGTGGGGACGCGGGGCTCTGGCATGGGCACCCCCAGACCGCACTGAGTGTTGTGGGGACCCCCCGGCTGCAGGGCTGTGACTGCCCCCTCACTTCTCCTGAGGTGCCTTACTCACACGCATAATGCCACACCGCGAAACACAACTCGGCGATGTGGTAATATTTAGCGATTAAAATCCTAATACTGTGCCTAGCAAGGTATTTTACTTATAATGCAGCTGCAGACCTTGGTCCCAGTTGTTATTTGTGCCTGTAGACAGTGAAAGCAACTACATTATGTGGCAGACAAAAGTACACAGACTGCAGATCTGCTAAGGCACTTGGGCAGTTTAGTCCAGGCATCCCTGCAGCACGGCAAGGTCTGGCTTACCAGAGTGGCTACCCAAGTCCCCCGTTCCTCCTGCTGCCAGATACAACAAATGATGAGCGAGCAAGATGCTCAAGCTACTTCTGACCTGTTCCTCACACCGAGCCCAGCTGCAAGCTCTGATTTTGAAGTCTGGTGAAAGTCTGACTATCTGTGCTTTCTCACCGTTTGCTCCAGGACGAGCCTGAGGTGCTGCTCCAATGCTACAGAGCTGGTTTCAGGGCAGGAGATCCTAGTTTAGAGTCTGTTATTTGTTTTCCCTTCTTCTTCCATTCACTCATATTTTTTCTCTTGGTTGTTTTTATTCTGTCAAAGGAAATTAGTATATCACAGTCCTGCAATGTGACAATAACACAATAGTATTTTCCAAAACAACTTGCAGTTCTTTTTTACCATTTCTGTGGGTTTTGACTGGGGCTAAATAGTATATGGTGGAGTAAATCTGCCTGACAAGAGTGGCTGCTGTTACTGCGAAATAAAACAAAACTTTGATTTACAGCCATGGTGTTGATGTCTGCTCTTTGCCTTCACCTCTATAAGTTGGATGTGAAACAAAGTGGGCACTGCCACCTTTGGACACCTTGACAGTCCATGGAAATTGCAAAATCTTTGCCAAGTAACATGCTAAGGATGCTATGAAATTATTTTAGTAACAGAAGC